TCTCTTTTATTTACCGGTGTGAATATTAGGAAGAAAAGAAAAGTTGATAAATTTTTTATGGATAATGGATATGGATTGGTCAAATATAGTAACACCGTTTGTGGTGGGTCTGCAAAATCACCCCAACGCGGAGGTCAATACCGTAATTGGCCTCGTCTTCCCCAATCCCCACCCAAAACGTTTAAATGCAAAGTTGTCATTGAGAGCGACCTGCAACGGAGCTGTAATTGTAAGCCTGTAATCCCTTCTCTCTCTCTCCTCTCTCTCTCTCTCTTCCTCAAATTCATTCGTCCCCAAAAGGCCCACACTCACAAATGCCCAAAAGATCACTTCTTTAGTGGGGAGTGGGGGGTGGTCAAGAAAGCAAAGCAAGAAATTACCGCTAAAGCTGGCGCCGAATAAGGATACTTATTACCAACAAGATTAGATTAGATTAGGCAAAAACAAAAAACAAAAAAAAAGGGTCTTTTTAATTTTTTTTTTTTTTGTTTTTTGTTTTTTTGTTTTTTGTTTTTTTGTTCCCATTATTTTTCTTGCCCATTCATTCCTTGGTTCAAACCCCTCCGTTGGAACACTGAGATTGTGTGTGTGTTATTTTTGCCAAGAATCTTCACGTTACCGTGTGGTGTTTACGCATTTTCTTGCGTTACCAACAATTCCCTTTTCACATCTCTCCCTACCCGGTTTGTATTTATTGCACACCTCGTTTCCCATCTGGTTCTTACCCTCTGCAGATCTGTGAATGTTAAAGAATCCTTAAATTTGTTTCTGTTTGCTTTATAGCCTCATTGGGAGTCATTAGGTGGGTTCTCTCGGCCAGTTTTGTTTTTTCCTTTCCTAAGGGGAGAGAACGGAGCGTCTCTCTCCTTAGGACAATTTATAGAGATAGAATAAGATTTTCTTTATGTAGTCGAAATTGGGTAGTGGGGTTTTGTTTTGCTTTGAGAATCTGGGCTCTGGGAGTTCTGCTGTAGTCTTTGGGGTTTGATTCTGGGAAAAAAGGGGAAAAGAGAGTTCTTTTGAGCAATGGGTTGCTTTTATTGTATAAGGCCTTCTAGTAAAGATGTAAGGGATTATGATGAAGATATGGTTCGTGGATCCGCCAATGCTTCAGGTTTGCTTTTCTGATTTGTGAATATCTGTTTTTAATTGCCATTATTTGTGTGAAAGTTCATACTTTTATGCAATGTGCTTTGTGTTTTGTGTGTTTATGATTATGAATTGCTTTTGAACATTATTTCCAGTGAATGTGAAGGGAAAGGCTTATGATGATGAAGCAAGTGGTGAGAACTTTTTGAAATGTTTTTTTTTTTGGTGTTAAATTGTTCAATCTAGGGTGTTGTATCATTGTATGTATAATGTGTGATTGATTTCTATCTCGGTTGTTGGTTCTTCGGGATGATAATGTGTGTTGAACTGTAGGAAGGAGAGGAGGTTCTTTGAGAGGGAAAACTGTGGAGGGCAGTGCCCACAAGGGCAAAGTTGCCCGTAGTTTCACATTCAAGGAACTTGCCACTGCAACGCAAAACTTTAGGCAATCGAACTTGCTTGGAGAAGGTGGATTCGGGAGTGTGTTCAAAGGGCGTCTGGACTCTGATCTGGCAAGTTTTTACGCCTTGAAATGCTTTAGTTTTGGTTTAATTCTTTGCAATCTGGTTTTCCCCGAAGCATGGTTACTTGATGATTGTTGCTTAAGTTTCGGTTTTCTTATGTTCGAGCTAACGATGGAGCTTATGATCAGATTGTTGCTGTGAAAAGACTTAATCTTGATGGCCTACAAGGGAACCAGGAGTTTATTGTCGAGGTCCTGATGTTAAGTTTACTTCATCACAAGAATCTTGTCAATTTGATCGGGTATTGCACTGATGGAGATCAGAGACTATTGGTCTACGAATTTATGCCTATGGGTAGCTTGGAGAATCACCTTTACGGTAATTCTTTAAATGTTTGAATGCACTTTCTTGATCATAAACTGTTCTAAAACTTTATATTGTTTAAGAGATTTTTCTTGTTATACATGAGATTACCGGTTAACTAGTTGGTCTTTAGATTCCGTTTCTATTATCTCGCTATTTCTAAAGTTTAGAAGTTCACTTGTATTGTTATTCTTTGAGGGTAAAAAAGTTGTTTTTGATTCATTTTGAGAAGATGGTTTTCGCATGAATCTTTGAGCATTGTTGCTTTTGATTCTCAGATTTGGAGCCTGGAATGAAGCCGCTAAGTTGGTGTACACGACTTAAGATTGCTGTGGGTGCAGCTCAGGGCCTCGAGTATCTTCATTGCAAAGCAAATCCACCGGTCATTTATCGCGACTTGAAATCTTCGAATATATTGTTGGACGACGCTTTCAATCCAAAGTTATCAGATTTTGGACTCGCGAAATTGGGGCCTGTTGGTGACAACACACATGTTTCAACACGAGTGATGGGAACCTATGGGTACTGCGCCCCGGAGTATGCGATGAGTGGTAAACTTACTTTAAAATCCGACATTTACAGCTTTGGTGTGGTCATGTTAGAGCTGATAACCGGGCGTAAGGCGTACGATAGTGCTAGGAAACAAGGCGAGCAGAACTTGGTTGCCTGGGTGAGTTCGTACTCTTTCATATCTATGCATATTAGTTACAAAGTGGAAATCGGCTTCGTGACACTATTTTCCTATTGTTATTATGTTTGCTTCATTTCCTACATAGAGCAAGTACGAATTTCACCGCTTAATTCACACATCATAGTTCATTTCGGTTCCAAATTCAATTCTATTAAAATCGATATGATTTGTAGTTTCTCAAACCCATTACCTTTGACATGGGGTTGGCTCTGATACTAAATTGAAGCATGTTGTTACGGGCATAGAGTCCGGCACAGCACACAACGCCCTTGCGGCGTCTCGGGGCCCCTCATACCCCGCAGACCAGCCTTATCCTCATACGTGCCATACTGATTTCGCCCTGCCCAATAGCTCCCTACTAGTTGTGCCCTTCGAATCGCATTGGTCCCCTTCATAGTCAAGTTCAAGACTAGCGACAGACTCCCCAAACTTAATTGGGTCGGCGTGCCTAACTCAGCCAGACCTTAGCGTCTAAGGCAGAACAACCCTTAACGCTATTGTCGCCCCCCTTTACCCATTTGGCATGCTAACCAGTTGGCCGTTTCATTCTTTGGGTCTTAACACGGTCACAAAAAATAGTCCGGGACAATGTGCTCCAGCACAACTAAAAGCCTAAACTGATAGTCAGACTGCACATTTATGTTTATATATTATATATGCTCAACAATACAAACGAATGTTGGTTTTTGATTCTATCAAGAATTTCATATGGCTATGAATCTATGCAACTTAAGTGGTTCTTGGATGTTGATCCCCGCTATCAATATGGACTTTCACGCCCCAGAATTCTCCCCGATACATAATATATCTTTGTTTGATTTGTGGCCATCTTCATCTAAACAGTTAATTTAACCATTTTGCAGTCTCAACCATTTCTAAGGGATCGGAGAAAGTTTGTTCAGATGGTCGACCCTCTGTTGGAAGGGCATTTTTCGGTCCGTTGTCTGCAGCATGCTGTTGCGATCACTGCAATGTGCCTTCAAGAACAAGCAAACTTCCGGCCACTTATCAGTGACATTGTTGTGGCGCTCGAGTACCTTGTCTCTCAGGCCGCCGAATGTTCAGATTCTCAAAAACCCGGAGTTCATGGCAAGACACACTCGGTTCCACCTCTAAATCCCAACGACGATCGTACAAGATAAGGTCCAGTAGACGACTCCGTTCCATTTTAAAAGCCCGGTTGCAGCGTGTTGGTTAAGGTTAGGTGTACAGGTGTCTGCCAAAAACCGATGTTGCCTCTAGAGGCACAGAAAGAAAGAAAGACAGAGACACTGGGGAACTTATTTTTTTGTTTTAGTACAAGGTAAGAAGAAGACATCTTGCTGCTACATTTTTGTGCATGCACAGTTTTGCCACAAATTTAGAAGCAAAGATGCTAAGAGTTGTTCTTATGTTGTTTCTTAGGTTCCAAATGTTTTAGTGGGAAACAAGTCCAGCCATGACACTGTAAATAGTTGTTGATGATAGATCAACCAACATTCATACATAGTCCAATGCTTTTAAATTATACTTTCTGAGTTTTTTTTTTTTTTTTTTTTTTTTTTTTTGGTGAGTAATACCTGTTGCATTGTGTTTAACTGTATGCTGTTTTCTTGCTACAAAAGGTGAAATTCTCTTGTCCCTGGCCCCTATACTTTGCCTTGGCCGATAGGGGATTGGGGAGGGTTGCATTGTGTTTAACTGTCTATTGTTTTCTTGCCCACAAAAGTCGAAATTCTCTTGCCCCTGGGGTCCTACGCTTTGGCCTGATACACCGATAGGGGATAGAGGAGGGTTGCATTGTGTTTAATTGTCTACTGTTTTTTTGTCCACAAAAGGCGAAATTCTCTTGTCCATGGAGTCCCTACACTTTGGCATCGCCTATAGGATAGTGGAGGGTTGCATTGTGTTTAATTGTCTATTGTTTTCTTGCCCACAAAAGGCGAAATTCTCTTGCCCCTGGGGTCCTACGCTTTGGCCTGATACACCGATAGGGGATAGAGGAGGGTTACATTGTGTTTAACTGTCTACTGTTTTTTTGTCCACAAAAAGCGAAATTCTCTTGTCCATGGAGTCCCTACACTTCGGCATCGCCTATAGGATAGTGGAGGGTTGCATTGTGTTTAATTGTGTACTGTTTTCTTGCCCACAAAAGGCGAAATTCTCATGTCCATGGAGCCCCTACACTTTGGCCTGATAGGCCGATATGATAGAAGAGGGTTGCAATGTGTTTAAATGTCTACTATTACACCCCAGCCTGATGGGATAGTGGTGAGATAAATCACGGTGACTCAACCGCTTATTAGGCGGCAGCTGCCACAGCTCAGTCCTGTGTTTGTCTCAATTTATTACTCAATAACCAACTAAATTATCTGTGCGAGCCTGTCTACTCGACTAGAAAAAAAAAAAAAAAACACAACAAAAAGAATTTACAAACTTTAATTATCTTGCGGAATATGGTACAAAAATAGTTCAAAAATACATGGGGACCCCTAACTAATCCTAGCTAAGGGATATGCTTCTAAAGATTAACAATGAGGCATACTTGTACTAGCTACCAGCCATGCTAATCGATGGATGTGTTCCATCTGAACTAAAAGAACATATTCTTTATTAGCTGATAGCAAGATCGTATATCTATTATTCTATATATATATGTATATATATTATCCTCAACATTGTTGAGGAACGCGGTGGAAAGTGAGCTTGATGGTTTGGTTCAGCGAAGAACGACAAACATCAAAGCATTCCTGCAAATCAGCATCACAGGTTAGTAAAACCCACTCACTGTCATCATCCAAGTACTTGAGTTGAAACCCCGTGGATTCATCCATACCAAAACGCCTCGCGATTTCGTTCAGCAGATCTTCGTAGCCCCAGCTGTTCTGCACCCGCAGCCTGATTTTCTCTTCTCCGAACGAGACTTTTACTCTCAGCACATCTTCTCGAGGCCTGCAGTCACCACCGCCTTTAGTAGTAGGTGGAAGAAACCGGGATGGAGGGCGTTGGATGAGAGAGGCGTGGCTTTGACATCTCGGGAGGGTCTTTGGCTCCTCATTTCTTGATGAATAATGCAGCTCGGCAGCGCTTTTTACCCTCTTTAAAACCGCATTTGTGTCTGAGTTCTTCGGTTGTCTTCCTGTCGAGCAGCATTGGCTCGAACTCGAGCTCTGACTGCAGGACGAGGAAGGTGTAACAGAATCAGCAACAGGAGCAGCAGGAGCAGCAGCTCGGGGGCTTGTAGAATCGCCCCCGGGGGATTTAAGATTCTTGAATTGGTTCGAGGCTGAATTGGGAGACACGAGCTCGGGGAAGCTCGAGTAGAAGGACTCGATTTGTAAACCACCCGAGACGCCTTGGACAGAATCAATCACGTGTTGAATCTTTTGCAACGAGTGCCCAACTTTCTTGATCTTTCGAGATGGCCAACGCTTTATCCCATGCTGCCTGCAGATCCTCTTCAGCGTCGTAGGACAGACTAAAAATTTCAACGAAAAAAAGGCATAACTAATTAAGAAATCTCGAAATTTTCTGCAAAGATTAGCAATTTAAAGAGGAATATAATGCTTACCACCAATACTCTTTGCAGCATCTTTGAGGCTACCAGCAAAGTATTGTTGAAGAATCTGCAACGTAATCGTTTTCTCGGTCTTCAAACGCTTTTTATCGCCCCTTTTACCCACACCCCGAGAGTTACATGCACTAGAAGCTCGGTCTGGTCCCGGAACACATTCGTTTAGCTGCAGCCTCAACTCCCGGGGGCACCTTTTTTTCAGTACTACTTCACTCTGTCCATTCTCGAAAGCTGAAACCGAATCACGGCTCTCGTGGCAATCTGTGTGCTGGGAATTCCCGGATAAACGTTCTTCATAAGCTCCAACGCCCAAATTTCTTTTCGGTTTTAGACCTTCTTCACTGAACATAAAACCCGAGGTTTCTTGCTGCAATTCTTGGTCAGTTACAACTCGCAAAGTCTGGCAAACGTTTTGTATGATGATGGACAACGAAGTCAGCATTCTTTTGTGTTCTTCGGGGCTAATGCAATTCCTCGGTAAGAAGAACTCCAACACGAATTCGGCTGAAGAAATCGATACACTCCGGAGGCGTATAGCCACGGAGGCTTGCAAACCGAACATCTTTGCATAGTGAGCGAGGGGGTACTCCGCCTTGCTAGAGGACATCAAATCAGCCGAAAAGCAAGCTTGATTGGTCACAAACGCCCTCCCGACGAGGCCTTGACCCTTTAGCAAGTGGTGCTCGGAACACGCCTCGTGGAAACCTCGAACATGGGGATCAGCTACGTAGCAAGCGGAATCCACCGTGGAAACACAATGAATAAGGTTGTCATCGGAGTGGCGGCACCCCTCTTTACCTTGTTGGATACACGGGACCCATGTTTGAGCTAACGGCAACCTATGTGTCTCGCAAGCTGACTTAAAAACATCATGAATCTCGCATAACACAGCTTGGTAGCTCAAATCGCATTCAGATTCCTGGTAAAGAATAAAACCAAACCCCATATAATAAGGTAATAAAACGCAAGAAACAATTCTCAGATAATTGAAGCACGTGCTCCATCTCAACTAAAAGCCTAAGCTGATAGTTGGATTGCACATTAATGGCTATATGCTCAACACGCCCCCTCACGTGTGCGGTGGGTTCCAAGCAAACACGTGGACCGTAGTCACTTATGGGTGGCGCTGAGATTCGAACCCACTGATACCAAATTGAAGCATGTGCTCATCTCAACTAAAAGTCTAAGCTGATAGTTGGATTGCACATTAATGGCTATATGCTCAACACAGATTTCATCAAATTTACCTTCGCATTTCGAGCATTTGGCAATATAGAACCCCTCAGATTAACTGCCTGCAATTCCATTTGGGGAAAAAAAAAACGACAGATTGTTCATCATTTCGTATCTGTACAAATCAGACTAAAGACTAGAACTTTGAATGAGTACCAAACCGCCACTCTTATCAAAAACAAGTACTAGGAATGCCAAAAGAACAAAACATTAAGGTAATAGTGAAGTTAGTTTCCTTGTTCTTTAGAGTTTTATATGACTAAAATAACGATAAGGCAATGTTATAAGGGAAATATGAACCTCGAGAGCTTTGCAGACGCTTTGGAGCTGGGGAAGGTAGTTGATTTTTTGCGTGGTTAAAACGAGTTCAATGACGCCCAAACAACTAAGGCTGCTTTGATCGAAAACCGGAACAGCGAGGGAGCCTCTGACATCGTACTCCTGAGCATGGCAAACTCGGGGGTACTCGTCCTTCTTGAAGAACTGAACATCGGGTGTCCACTCGGGAAGTTTAGCCAAAAACACACGCCCGGGTAATCCAGTGCTCTCGTTCGAGTCCTCCTCAGCCGGGAACTGAAAATTAACCGAGATATCCCGGTAATGGGCGAGTTGAGGGCAATTCTTGTTCACCTGGAAAGGCTGACCCCTTGTGGTTAGTACACATCTATCGCCTTTGCTTACAGGCACCCATATCTGAATCAAAACGACATCTTTGTCTCGAAAAAAATCGTTTATGTACTCAACCGCCTTAACCAATCTGTCGGTAATCGAGCACCATCCAGGACCTTCAACCAAACATCTTCGAGATTGCCCCCAAGGACTAATTGCAGTTCGATACTGGAAACCCGATGATAAATTCTCGGGGAGAGATGATCTTTGAAGCCTTTCTTCTTGGTCATTGTTGTTGGAATTGGCCTCTAAAACTGGCCACATGTAATCAGATCCCTCACTTCTCTCCACCCAACACAGCAATTCATTCATGTAATCCAAATCCATGAAAGAAGGACACAAACCCCCATCCATTTCCTCAGAATTTTACCAGCATTTATCTCCAAATCCTCCCCAGACAAAAGCTAAATCCAAAAAGAAAGTGAATAGCTTTTAAAAAACAGGAAAATCTTTCCCCAATTTGCAAAAGTATGCTTAAAATATGAAGTGTGGAAACAAGTAAACAACCAAATTGGTAAAAAAAAAAAGATTCTGAACAGAAATAATCCAAAAAGATGAACTTTTATTGGTTATTACTTAGCAACAACAAATAGTGGGTTGAAAGATGATGTTACAATAAATTATTCCTCCAAGTTGCATAATACTTATCAGATTTCATGTCAAAACCACAAGAAATCACCCACAGTTACAAGATTAAGGTAAAAACTGTGTTTCAGTGGCAAACAATGCAAAAGTTATCTTCTTTTCCACAAAAAAGGGAGAAATTAAGCAAAGGAGAAGAGATTCATTCATTCATTCATTGATATTATGAGAAACCCAGACAAAAGAAGGCAACCCTACAAGGAAAAGGTTCTGAGATAGAATTGCATTTGCAGAAATCACAGGAAAAATATCAGCAATGAAGGGAGACAAAAAGAAAGAGGAAAGAGCAGAAGAGAACCTCAGAATTCCAAGATTCTTTGGTATTGCATTAGCCAAAAAGTGGATATTTATTGTTGGTTTGATTTAAGAAAATTTGATGGCAACCCAGAAAAGAAAAAAAACAATTTCTTGTGGTTGTCTGAGGAGCAAAATATATGCGAGTTGGGCAAGTGGGAATTAAGGGATTTATGCTGTCACTCATCACTCATGCATTTTCCCTATTGCCATATATGGCCTCTGGAAATCCCCTCCACATATACTGCAGAAAATGGATCATGTACACAACATTTACGTCCGCAATTTTTATTTATTTTTTTTAAATTTAACCCAAAAAAAAAAAAGTGTGGATTTGTGAAACTGGAGTGATATGAAGTATATATTGTAGTATATGTATGTATTGTAAAGATTCTGGGGTGGGGTCCACCAGGAGTCTTCAGACCGGACGTCCGGTACAAATTTCGTACTTATCCAAACAAAAAACATTATTTTATTCAACATCTGCAAATGATACAAATTATACGGAGAACCAAATTGTATGAGCTTTCTGTGTTCCAATTCATGCAGACTATAATTGTGGGTACGTGGTTTTTTATATCTTTCTTTTTCTATATAAAGAGTTGACAAAGAACAATTAAGGGTGTTTGATTGGATGAAAATTAAAACTTTTTTCAATGATTTTTTTTTTTTAAATTTGAAAAAAATGGAATTTTTTTGGTTTGGTAATGAAAACTTTTACACTCAACAATGTTTTTCTTAGTTTTGAAGAAAAAATATTTCAAGAAAAAGGGCAAAATTTTGTTTTTTCATGGAACTTGAGAATAAAGTATCACATGATAGGATTATTTTTTTTCTTATAGAACATTCTTAGTAACTTTAAACCAAAATGTGCATAATAATTTTTATTATATTATTATAATATATAAAATATATAATTATAATATTATATTTTATAAATAATAATATTTTAATTTAAAAATCAGTATTACTTTTATTATCATTATCATTGTGTAGTGGCATTATGGTCTTTATATTCGTTGTTCCTTACTATTCTAAGATTTCCAACCCAACAAAACAATGGATTCAGTAGTCTCATTAATTTCTTTTCCACCAATCGATTAATGAAATAAATTTTCTTGGTAATTTCTTTTTTATGTAATTTTAATTTTATTTATTCTCAAATATTTTCCGCGAACCAAATAAGCCCTTAGTTGTAATCGCACAAATTAAAAAAAATATAATAGATGATAGAATCTATAGGACGGTAATGAAATGATATAGATCTTTTGCATTTTGATTAGACTTGTTAAGCTCAAGTTTGAGTCCTCATAAAAAAGTACTTTATCACTTGATGCAAACATATTTCAAAATAAGAGCAAAGTCAATTACTCTTAAAATTTATTTATTCTTTTGTATGACTACAAGGTTCATCAACCAATCAATTAGGAGTATAGGACCATCGAAATTAATCTTGTTTAGAAATTTATTTATTTTCGATTATAATTAAACTGGTTATGCAAATTGGACCCCCAACAAACATTAATGGGTAACTTCTTAAAGTTTACAAAAATTATTTGAGGTAGCATTTTCCCCCCAAAAAAATATGCAACTTGTAATTAAAAATTAAACATAAAGTAAAAATATTATTAAAAAAAAACAATATAATTACACATAACAAAGTGGTTGTGTGGCTAATTGAAACCGATGCCAAATGATTACGACAAATCCATCTGAAATCCGCTAATGTCCATAAGTAAATATTAAAAAATGTAAATGTCGTACGGTAATACTATAAAAGAAATGGAAATTTATTAAAATTATTAAATAAATAAATAATGCAACCAAAAAAATACAAGAAAAGAAATACAAGTTGTAACATGCTTTAAGACTAATCCTCATCGTTCAATGAAATAATTGCAGTGGTAAACATTCATTAGAAACAACTTGTCGTTTGTATAATAAATTAATATGCATTTGGATAATAATTTATTAATTAAAATAAAATTATTTAAATTAAAATATTTTTAGTTCTAATCAGGGTCATTATCGAGTGATCTACCTAGTTGATGATGTTTTGCCCATTTAATCAAGTACGAAAACGTCAATTATTTAATTTAATATTTGTGTGTGCGTGTATATATATATATATATATATATATATATATATATATATATATATATATATATATATATATATATATATATATATATATATATATATATATATATATATATATATATATATATAATTTTTGATTTTCTATTTATTAGTTTATTTTTTCTTCTAAAATATAAAGAAATTCTCTAATTAATGAATGCATCCTAAATTATATGGACTATGGAGTTAACATGATTTACATCCTCCCATATGCTCTGTAGGGTCGGGGTGTGGGGACCTTTAGGGTTGGGGTTCAACCTTTTGGAAAGAAGAAGTAAATTATAAGATGTATCACAACTGGTCTACATATCTCCAAATTCTTATGTGTTCACAATAAGTCAATTTATACAATTTTTTAAAATCATGATAGAATTCGAACCACCGCCATATAGGCGTGTTAGCGAACAGAGCTTTCGATAAACTATTCGTGTTCGTGTTTGGTAAGCATTCGTTTATGTTCGTTTATTAAGGTAAACGAACATTAATAAACAAAATTTAGAGCTCGGTTTATAAACAAGTAGAGTCTGAACAGTTGTAAGCTCGTTTGCTAAGAGATCATGAACAAGCTCGTTTGTGTTCGTTTAATAATGTTCGCGAACAAGCTCGTTTAGTGTTCTTCGTTTATAATGTTCGTGAACAAGCTCGTTTGTGTTCGTTTAATATTTGTTTGTGTTCTCTTTGTAGTTGTGTTACTTGTTTAGTTATTTTTCATGAACACATATTATTTCTTGTTCAAGAACGAATTGTGATCATGAACATGCTCATATGTTTGGTTATTAAGCATTCACGAACGTGTTTACGAATGTGAACAAACATGTTCGTGAACGTGTTCGTTAATGTTAACGAATATATATGTTCATGAACGTGTTCGTTAATGTTAACGAACATGTTCATGAACGTGTTCGTTAATGTTAATGAATACGTTCGCGAACATATTCGCGAACGTTAACAAACACTAATGAACGCTTAACAAACGAACACAAACACTCCAAAAATTTTAACAAACAGACACGAACAATCTTCGTTCGTTTATGTTTGGTTCGTTAATAGCCCTACCACCTTGCATCATAAGTTATATTATGAATATATTCAAAGTTGTTGATGTATGATTCCTAAGCTTATATTAAATTAGTCCATAAGATTCCATGTTAGAAATTGCGTGGAAGCTAGCAATCTAAATATAGCATATGTAATACTCGATTTCGTATTCCAACCCCTCCCCCCCCCCCCCCCCCCCTCCCCCGCGGAAAAACTTATTTTAAGTTGGTCCATGTAAGACTCCATTATAATACATAAATAAAATAAAAGATAATAAATATTGTAAATTGAGCTGTGATTTATGTATTATGTTTAAAAATTAATTAGAAAAATAGGTAAAAAGGTGTATATTGAAAATGACTCATTTGTAACAATAGAAAAATAGATGCAAGGCGTAAAAGTAAAGGACCTCTTCTTCCAACTTTTCGAAGTGATCAAAGAGCATTCCAATCGTGATTGAAGAAGATATGTCATTAGTCGTATGGACTTAGCTCACTGATTCAGTATATAGTACTTGAAAAAAGAAATTAAGGTTCGAATCTCGTCGATGGCAGTGTGGAAATTATGCCTAAAGCGAACAGATTCCTTGTGGATATTGACATTTAGCCATGTCTGCTGAGCTATTGAGTCACCGTAATTTACATCCTCCCAAATACTCTGTTGGGTTGAGATTGAAGATTCAACCTTTTGAAGAAAAAAAAAATGTCATTAAGCATATTTATGGAGAAATAAATCGTTACACGGATTATTGAATAACAACTCACGACAATCATATCCCCTTTGAGTTGCATATGTATGATACGTCGTTGGATGGGTTTAACAAACTTTGGATTGATTCAATTGTATTCTTTGCTCGAGATTTAATTTAGTAAATTAATTTTTTGTTGCTTTTGTATATCTTGTTTCTTGTATTTTAAAAAATAAAATCAAATAAGTTCCTAAACTTTATACAAAAAGTCAATTAGATCCTGAACTTTTAAAAATTGCAATTTATGAAATTCATCAATATGTTATTTTCGTGCATCGAAGCTCATAAATTGGTTACTGGCCTAAACTTTATACAAAAGAGATGCAGAAAAGCCAAGGCGACCGACGATAGTTGGTGTTGGAAAAATAGCTTTAAAATTGTATAAAATTGCATATTAAGTGGCTATTTTGTGGTACAATTATCTGTGGGGTTCACTTTCAATCTGGGTCGGGTTTTCGGGTTCTTCGTAGTGGGACGAAGAGATTGATATATTGTACGCTCAAAACGGATAATGGGTGAATGAGATATTGATTCTCAAAGTAGACTCATTGAGTTGGAAAAATGAAGGAAAAAGTGAAGCTTTTGTCCCACATTGGTTTGGAAAGTGAATTTGCACTACTATTTATACAAGAGCTCTTTTAAAGATTATTGAATTGTATAATATAGACGCTTTATCTCGCATGCAAAGGGGGTGCAAATCAAATCCCGAACTTAGACTAAAAAGGCTTGATCCAACAGGCTTAATTAAATCCTATAATATAGCCGCTCTACCCCCCATGCAAATGGGGGGGGGGGGGGGGGACGCTCTATCTCGCGTGCAAAGGGGGTGCAAATCAAACCCCGAAATTGAATCCTATAATATAGCCGCTCTATCTCGCGTGCAAAGGGGGTGCAAATCAAACCCCGAAATTGAATCCTATAATATAGCTGCTCTATCTCGCATGCAAATGGGGGGGGGGGGGTGCAAATCAAACCCCGAAATTGAATCCTATAATATAGCCGCTCTATCTCGCGTGCAAATCAAACCCCGAAATTGAATCCTATAATATAGCTGCTCTATGCAAATGGGGGGGGGGTGCAAATCAAATCCGAGACTAAAGGCGACGCTCTATCTCGCGTGCAAAGGGGGTGCAAATCCTGCTCTATCTCGCATGCAAATGGGGGGGGGGGAGGCTTGAACTTAGACTAAAAAGGCTTGATATAGACGCTCTATCTCGCGTGCAAATCAAATCCCGAACTTAGACTTTCTATCTCGGGTGCAAATCAAATCCCGACTTAGACTTCTATCTCGGGTGCAAATCAAATCCCGACTTAGACTTCTATCTCGCGTGCAAAGGGGGTGCAAATCAAATCCCGAACTTAGACTTCTATCTCGCGTGCAAAGGGGGTGCAAATCAAATCCTGAACTTAGACTAAAAAGGCTTGATATAGACGCTCTATCTCGCGTGCAAATCAAATCCCGAACTTAGACTTCTATCTCGGGTGCAAATCAAATCCCGACTTAGACTTCTATTTCCCGTGCAAAGGGGGTGCAAATCAAATCCCGAACTTAGACTTCTATCTCGCGTGCAAAGGAGGTGAAAATCAAATCCCGAACTTAGACTTCTATCTCGCGTGCAAAGGGGGTGCAAATCAAATCCCGAACTTAGACTAAAAAGGCTTGATATAGACGCTCTATCTCGCGTGCAAAGGGGGTGCAAATCAAATCCCGAACTTAGACTAAAAAGGCGTGATCCAGCAGGCTTTATTGAAAAGGATTGATCCAAGCCTGAACTCGTGCAAAGTGGGTGCAAATCAAATCCCGAACTTAGACTAAAAAGGCTTGATCCAGCAGGCTTTATTGAAAAGGATTGATCCAAGCCTGAACTCGTGTACACTGGCAGACTTTGTGGGCTAAGTTGTACCAAACTTCGGTATTATTTTCCCAACACATAGCCTTGGCGAGCACGAGAGACTGAACCAACCAGAACTTTTTGTCGGGGCCGAATCTTGGCAATCAAGCCTGAACTTGTGTACACTGGTAGGCTTTGCGGGCTAAGTTGTACCAAACTTCGGTATTATTTTCCCAACACACAGCCTTGGCGAGCACGAGAGACTGAACCAACCAGAACTTTTTGTCGAGGCCGAATCTTGGCAGTAGATAGGCCGAAAGCACGAGCCAACGGCTTATCTACAACACGAACCAACTAGAACTTTTTGGGGGATTATCTACAACACGAACCAACCAGAACTTTTTGGGGACTTATCTACAACACGAACCAAACAGAACTTTTTGTCTCTTGTTGCGACCGTTGGGTGGGTTTAATTCAACAGTTACGGAGTTAATTACAATTAATTCCAATTTTAAATTTTGAATTGCTATTACTGGAGCTGCAGGTTGGTTTTAATTGCCATAATAAAGGCTATTGAACCCCTTCAGCCCTATATAAGAAGGGGAAGAACAGCAGCAATTCTACAAGATCAAGAAATATAGTTTTCAGCTCCAAAATCTCTGCTTCTACTCTCTTCTTAGCCCTATGTGTTCATCCATTTGCTCTACTTCGCCGGGTTCTTTGTTTGGGTGCTCAAACATAGACCTTGCAATTCGTGTATACGGGTCCGTTAACGGGTTAACACGATAACGACACGGACACGATAAGGCTAAACACGGACACGACACGTTATGGTTAACGGGTTCAAATTTTTAACACGAACACGAACACGATTTGTTAACGGGTTAAACGGGTTGATAAGATAGACACGTTTTGTTAACAGGTTTCAAGTCGTGTCGACACGATATGACACGAAACCCGTTTAAACCCGCTATTTCTATTAATATATTTAAAAAACTAAAATTTAAAGTTAAGTTCTATAAAAATAAAAAAAAAATAAATAAAACCTACCGTTCAATTCATCAAACAAACTAAAAAATATTCAATTCATAACATTTATAAAATGATAAAATAACATCCAAAAATCATAATTAAAGGAGTCCATACAAGTTTTTAGAATAAAATTGAACACAATAAAAATTCAAATTTCAAATTGTTGAACATCAATTAATTGTTGTAGGATCTTGGCCTAATGTAGTAAATTCATCCTGAGTCATGTTCAAAATATCTGTTGTAATCTCAATAATATCAATGATTCTTACCGAAATGACAATGATTCTTAGTGGGTTATAAACAGGTTTGGTAAACGGGTTCGTATTAACGGGCCGTTAACACGATAAGATTTTAAGAAAAGAGCGATTCGCTCGACTTGTGCTAGCCACCTACACCAACCCGAACCATATCTCTTTACCCTTTCCTTCCCAAATTTTCTGTAAATAATAATTCTTATTTTGTAAGATTACTATTGGATTTTACCAACGAAATTTCCAACAGGACAGTCGTTAGTCGATTGAGTGACGCAAATATACATGTGACTTTAGATAAGAAATGATGTGTAATTTTAGTACCAGATATGAAAAATAAAAAATAAAAAATTGCGTATAGATTTTTCAGGTGGCTGCATGCATAAAAATCTTAATCTTGATTAAACATGTATTTGACATATGTAAACTTGTGTTCTTTGGGCCTATATAGGTTATAGGGGCAAATTATTGGGTATGTGGACCATAACAAAAAATACATTTTTAATATATTAAATGTACATTATTTTGTATTGAATGTACATTATACAATATAATGTATATTCAGAATAAAAATAATATACATCCCCTGAATATAATGTACATTATTTTTGTATTAAATATACATTATTTTTATACTGAATGTACATTATTTTATAATATACAAAATATGGTCTGCACAATTTGCGTGAACCATAATCCACACAATAATGATTGGGTTGTAGGTACATAAAGAGTTATATAGACTGGTCCATTATTCTGTGTTAGGCATGAAGAATATATATCAACTATGGGCACTTATATAGACTGGTCTATCATTCTATGTGTTAGGCATGAAGAATATATATCAACTATGGGCTGTTGGTCCATTCATAGGAGTATTATTGTATTAGGCTCAAGCAACTTAATTGAATTTTTAAGCTAAAAATAATAATAAACTTATTATTATGTTTTAATTTAAATAGTTGAGCTCGAGTTTCCTTTGTAAAATAAACAAGTTCAAATTGTAGCTGATTGTTGAAGTGTTTCCTCCTTTCTTATTTAATAATAATAAAAAAAATAAAAAAAAATAAAAAAAACCTCACTGGAAGTATGTGATTGTGTAAATATTCTCGGGTAATCGTAATCGTATATGTTATTGTATAATTTGAAGGGCAAATAAGACTGGTGGCTAGAGATTTCCGAGCGTGTAATAAGTATGTATAAGAGCTAGGGAATAATGGGAAAAAGTCCCCCTACAACTCTATCTACAAGCACCAAATGCGATATTTATAGGAGGTGAAAGGAGACATATGTCGAGAGGTCGACATGTGCGACACGTGTCAACCATGCACTCAGCGATCTCAGAGGCTAAGGAGGAGCATCCATGTGTAGAGGAATATTTGACTGGCCAATGACTATCGGGCTCTGTTTAAGAGTTATCGTCGATGTTCATCTTTAAAGGCTTATCTCATGCGCTCGAGGCCCAGCCGAGCATTCAGATCGGGGCCGAGCATAAAACTATGAGCAGAAGCTCACTAAGCTAATAAGAGGCGTAACCTTTAGATCGGGTCAGTCGAATACCCTCGTCAGGTCGAACTAGGTCGGGGAAAAGATCCTCACTGTGTATAGGGTCAGATCCGATCGGGTGCTTAATATACTTAGGTGGTGGTCTGGGGTATATTCCCTATCAGTATGAATGGGAATTGAAACATGCTCAAGATGATGAAAGGTGTGGATTGGATCTCTTGTGCACGCATAAAGACTAGAGTCTAACTAATGGGTTGATTGCACAACTTGCGATTTACCTCTGCAGTATGTAGCTCTATAGGTGATATCCTATGGGTTTAGAATTAATCCAGCAAAACTAGATCACTTAAGTAAAAAAAAAAAAAAAAAAAAAAAAAAAAAAAAAAAAAAAAAAACCTCCACCACTAACATGCAAGTATATTTTCTCACTAAGTATATTTGTCCAAGTTATACTCAACCAATATGTATATTGGCTCAATTAATTTTATTATGATCATAATCTTGTGAACACTAGTCATGTAGTTGAACTCAAGTTTACTTGTTTTAGTTCTCTTGATTGCTAACGTATAAGTATTTGCTCATGAACTCGTATGTTTGTGCAAACTAAACTCAAAACAATATACATATAAGCTCGATCAATTAGTTTTATATATTTTTGAAGTTAAACTAGGCGAGGTAAACTAAAAAAACAAAAATATTATATTACTCATCAATTTACTACATGCAATCCTCGCACACGAGGCAGTTCAAAGCAATCTTCATGTCAAAATCTTATCAAGATCCGGTGGAGTGTTGAAACTTCGAACAATAATGTACAATCAATTCAATTAGTAATATCCACAAACGTTTCAAATAAAACTGCAAGGATTGAAGTATCATTTGAAATATCAAAGATAGATAACCAAAAATGCATTACACATGACCACACAATAACGATAATTTATTCAGGCTAGAACATTGTCCCAGTCTACTTACATCGTACCAGTTTACTTGCATCGTCACATATAGGACCAGATATATAACAACATAGTATTTTGTAAAATCCAAAATACAACATCGGTAAACATCAAATTTACAGTAATAAACGGTGCCGTTTAGTACAACGTGCATGTATTTCAACTCAAAAGCAATTTATACTGCCTTCCACCTCTCTTACATAGTTGGTCTTATGTTCAGGCGGGAAGCTACCTTTTGTCCAAGAGACCTATCAGCCTGCATCACATTCAACCAACCAACCAAAAAAAAAAAAAAAAACAATACATAATTAAACAAAGGGATCGGAATGTTTGGTAAATAACTGTAAACTGATTGTATTAGTGGGTTTGACTAGTTGATAGCATTAGTTGATTGTAGAAAAGTGTTTGGTAAAATACCTGTTAGCTGATAGCTGATTACATAAAAAATGATTTTTTCAAAAAACTGATCGAAAAAGTTACATTAAGCAGTTTTTTAAATTTTAACATTTTAGAACAATAAGTTGTTACAAAAAGCTAATTAATCATATCGAACACTCATATTGATTGTTTAACCAATTCAAACAGTTAATAGTGATTAAATAAGTTAAAATTTGCTGATAAGCTAACAATGTTATTAAACATGACCAAAATTGTACCTGAGTGAGGTATGAAATCCAGGTGCTGCGAATTTCATGGGTGACTCGGGGCTCCGACAAGGACTTGACCCATCGGTTGATGAATCTATCTTGCCTGGAAAAATTTAAAAAAATAAAATAAAATGAATCATCTACTTGACAAAAAATTTAATGGAAAATTCGAAGAAATTAAGGATGAGAAAGTATGTACCTGTCTGGAGCCCAGGATCTGTATCTATCTCCAGGTTGCTTGAAGTTGTTCTCCTTCTCAATAACACACTGACAAAACAAATAGGTATGAAATAGGTGTACGAGATTTAGAGATTATATTATAATAATTTGTACATATATTTTTGTATATATTGTATGTAAAAAATTACGGTAATTAACTTACCTTATCACGTCGCCCCGTCACGATACGTAACGGAGTTGGGAACCTCTCAGCGTTACGTGTGTTATCAAACTTCGAGGGAAAGTAATCAACCTGAAAACACAATGCACATCAAAGTTGAGACACTAGATAATAAAGGAAATCTGCAATCACTATTTAACGGTATGTATGTGGTAGTCTCATATTGTGATCATAGTTAACAAATAACTATGTAAATAAATTTAAATTGTCCATAACTGATCGACTAACAAGGGTCATCATACAAGAAGTCCAATAAGCTGTGGTAACCCCAATCAAGAAGGCAAGAGATCCAAACTCATAACAACTAGGTCACGAGTTCAAATATTTGTCCCGACTCAATGTTGAAAATCGCTAAGCGCCCTCTAGACGCCTGAGGACCATCTAGAGCGCCTAGGAGGCCGACCGCCTAACGCCTAGGCGCGATTTTTATAACACTGATCCGGCTAGAGACACAAGACATGACAAGGTTTCCCTTGTCGTCCAAAAGAAGAGCAATAAATTACTTTCATAGAGATTTAAACTTAAAACTTGTGATTATTAAGCCAACATTCTGACCAACTTGATCGGGATTGACCAGGAAATACCAGGTGTGTAAATGTGTAATTACCTCTTCATCCCTGTGGACAAAGTTCATGTAACCATCATAGCTATTGTTGTGATAAGCACACTTGGGGGCATTAACGGGAAGCAGCATATAGTTGGGGCCGAGGCGGTGGCGGTGAGTGTCGGCGTAGGCGAAGATTCTAGCCTGGAGCATCTTATCATCGGAGAAATATATTCCGGGGACAATGTGCGCCGGGTCCATGGCCACCATCTCGTTCTCCGCGAAGAAGTTGTCGATGTTCTTGTTCAATACCATCCGCCCCACCGGCTGCAGAGGTAGCAGGTCCTCCGGCCAGATCTTGGTCGTGTCCAGCGGGTCGAAATCGAACCGGTCCTCGTGATCCGGGTCCATCACTTGGATGAAAAGCTTCCACTCCGGGTAGTTCCCGGCGGCGATGGACTCGTACAGATCCTGGGTGGCGTGGCTGTGATTCTCGCCGCCGATCCTAATCGCCTCCTCTTCCAGCAGACACTTGACGCCGCAGGTGGGTTTCCAATGGAATTTGACGTAGTTGACCTGTAAGATCAGTTGACTAGAGTTATTAAGTAGTTTGGTCACACTAAATAACTAGAAGTTATTAATCAATCAGATTTTATGCACAATACTCAGTAGACATCAGTACATTATTTATGTTCTGAGTCTGTGATAAAATATGGCTAACGGTCTACTGTGAAGGCAACACAACAAGACATCAATTGTGACTATTACGAGGTTAGATTTTTTGTAGATTATTATTATGTATGGTTAGATTATTTATATCTAACCTTGCCGTCCTTGTTGATCATGGTGAAAGTGTGGACGCCGAAGCCTTCCATGTGGCGGTAGTCGGTGGGGATACCGACGTCGTCGTAGAACCATGCGAATGTGTTCAGGCTCTCCGGGAGGTGGGATAAGTAATCCAGGATTCTCCAGTTCTCCTGGATGTGGGATTTCGGGTTTGGCTTGAACGCGTGGATCACGTCCGGGAACTGCGCTCCGTCCCGGATAAAGAATACCGGGAAATTGTTGCCCACCAAATCAAAGTTTCCCTGCATATATATATCAACATAATCAGACACTAAAGTTTTCCGGCAAAGACTGGACTAGCCTGTCTAGTTGAGACTCTGTCAAAATTTGATTGAATTAGTCCGTTATGTCGAGTCTCGATTGAATTAATCTATTAAGTTAAAAATTAATAAAATTAGTCGGTTTATCGAGACTAGACTAAATCAGTATACCCCATTGAGATTTAACTGAATCAATTTGTCTAAAAATGGCTGGATTAGTCTGTTCGATCGAGATCCAACTAGTTCAGTTTGTCTAATTGAGATTCGGATGGACAATCTGTCCGATCAAGATTCAAGTGGATCAGTTTGTCCAACTAAGGCACATCGAGACACAACTGAATCAATCTCTCCAACCGAGAGGCAGGACTAGATCAGTTAGCTTGTCTGACTGAGAATTGACTGAATTAGTCCATCCAACCAAGTCTTGGTTAGATTAATTAGTTATTCAACTAAGATGAAACTTAACTAAGTTAGTCTCATCCAATCATATCGTAATTTAAGTACCTCACGGGTGTACATCTTGACGGCGAAGCCACGGGGATCTCTGATGGTCTCGGGGCTGCCACGTTCATGGATGACGGTGGAGAAGCGGACGATGAGAGGCGTCTGAACGCCGGGGGCACGGAGGAAGTCGGCGCAGGTGAGGTGTGTAATGTCATGAGTGACCTCAAAGAAGCCCTTGGCAGTTGCACCCCTCGCATGCACTACTCGTTCTGGGATCCTCTCACGAGTGAAGTTTTGAATTTTCTCCACCAAGTGATAATCTTCCAGCAGAATTGGCCCTATTCATTTCCAAACCAAACAATATTCATCAGATCACTACAAAATTTTCACTGATTTACTAGAAAACTCACCGTTACTATTCGTAAGTGTAAAAATTAAACTTAAAATCTTTTAGTTAACTGTCAAACCAACTCAATAGGGGAGTGTTAATGATGAAAACTGTAATCATTATCTGAAGTGTGTATAGATCAACTATAGAGTAAACCACACTCTTTTTTTTTTTTTTTTTTTTTTTTTAGTATATTCAGAGTTTCCATTGTCAGGCAGGCACAGTGATTAATCTTCTTGTTGGATTATAGGCACCTTTTTTGAATGGGACAACTGATTTGACGATTTAAGGCTGCTCTATACTCAAAACCAAGGATTCAACCTTAAACCACAATCTCTATATAATAGTCTGTAAACTACATAGGAAAGGTAAATCGATAAAAATATGATAGATTGAGAACTATTAGTGTGGTTGGGCAAACTAAAGTTGGTGCATGTCAATACAAGATGAAGAAAGGTGGGGTAGGGATGGATGTCCATGTCGGTTGATATACTTGATATAAAGTTTGATCCAACTTTCATGTGCACTGTACTGGGATTTAGAGGATATTTTAGTAATTAATATACTCACTTAAGCAATAAATTTAAGGTGGGATCTTATTGTTCACTTATTTGCACTTTAAATTTAATCTTTAATCATCAATAAAGCACTAGAATTAGTCTTTAAAGATATAAGAAAGTTTGATCTAACTGTCAAAGGATCAAATATGTAACTTCGTTAAGAAATTAAAGACCATAAATAATTAAGCTAAGAGGCTAAATATATACTATATATGATCATAATCGAGAGGGTAAAAACGTCATTTCATACAAAAGTCAGGATGGATCGGAAATTTACCTCTGCTGCCGACGGTGAGTGCGCAGGTGTTGTTCCATACCGGAGCTCCGCCATTGGTAGTGCAGAAGGGTGTGTTGAAGCTACTTGATGGACGGTACTAAATCAAATACAATAAACTAAAATCACTTCTTTCAACTTTTAAATATTATTCAAGCAAATTATATATATCTTGCATGGACCTAAAAATATATAATATTTTCATCTTTTTGGATCACCAGAGAAATTCCGTAGTCACTATCCAAAAGTGCAGGATAAACCTCACTTATGTGTAATATATTGTGCGCAAATTACACAATAAACGTATACTGTATTAGAAAAATTTTGTGCGAAGAACTCAACTCAACCGAGAAGGTGTTTGCAAGAATCAAACTCATGACCTTCACGTGTGAACATCATGTTTCACCCTCTCGATTTCAAGGCATAATATATATTTTCATCTTTGAACCGAGTGACGTAATATATAACAAATCAGTAAGAGTTTCTACTGAGCTCAACTGAATAGTACTTGTAAGAATCAAACTCGTAACATTCTGGTACGATAATAAAATAATAAAAGAAGATGATAAAAGAATAAAGCTTTGGAGGGATCTGATGATACCTTTGAAGGATCCATGGAGATGAGGGGAATGGGGAGAAGAAAGTGGAAAGCTTGTAGAATAAAGAGAGGTAGCAGTAGATCACACTCGATCTCAGAGATTTCTGTTTTTCTGCTACGTTATTTATAACGAATAATTTCACTTCAACCCCCCCTATAGTTTTATATGAGTAGCGTTTTGATCCCTTTATGTTTTAGAAATTATATCCAATACATGTATACTTGAAATCAAGTCTTTTATTAGTTTTCTTGGTATGAACCGATCAGCTATGAGTAACTTAAGTTGATTTTCCTGATTTTTTTCGACTAAGGTTACAATGTGATTTCACCTAGAATGCATCTTCAAATAGCAACTGTTAACTTTCTTATTAATCAAAGATCGAATCGATATCTAAATCCGTTAAGTAAACAAACTTCTCAAAATAAAATTTCACCTTCTCTATATTATTACTTGGTATATCCTTTGGTAGAACCAACTTCAAATTTAAGTATTCACTAATATGTGTGTGTGTAAAGATTCAGGTAAAAATTATTTCATTTGTAAAAAGTATGAACACATCCATAATCTCCATTTGATAAATTAAATGCTATGATATTACTAATTACTAAACTTTCAACTTCATAATAATTATAAAATGAATCCGTTCTTAAAAGTTTTCTAAATTATAAAATTGACCATATGTTTTTTTACTAAAATATTTAACCATTGATAAACACTGATGAACAGTTGAGATTAGTCGTCACTTTTTACGGGAGAATAATATTCTCATTTGATGTATATATTATGTTGTTAAAAAGAGCACGATAAAGTATTAAAAAGTGCGCATTTAGAATTAAAATTGCACTTTGCAGAAGACGAACTTTTAACATTATATTATGCGCTTCTCATGATTTTCTAAAAATACACATTATGTTGTTAAAAAGTGCACGATAATATATTAAAAAAGTACATATTTAATATTAAAATTACATTTTGAAAAGAGGAAATTTCAATTTTAGTCATATGACTATAGGGGTCTTGTTAATTTTAGTCTCTAACTTTTAAAAGTGTCAATTTAGTACCTTAACTATGCAATTTTTGTCAATTTTGGTCACTCCGGTCAAATTTTGCCAGAAAATTATAATAATTAAAATAATGAGGATATTTTGGTCGTTTCACGTATCTTTTATTCTTTTCAGGCGATTCAATCCATTCCTCTCCCGTTTCTGGCGAATGCAATGAACTAAGATGATGGGGAAATGAGGCTTGATGATATTAAAGATAGGGTTTACAGGGACAAAGAACGTCGAAAACGGGAGAGAAAGGGATGGACTCGGCGGAGAAGAAGAAAAGAGGCGTGAAACGACCAAAATATCCTCATTATTTTAATTATTAAAATTTTCCGGTGAAATTTGGCCGAAGTGACTAAAATTGACAAAAATTACATAGTTAAGGTACTAAATTGACACTTTTAAAAGTCAGAGACTAAAATTAACAAGACCCCTATAATTATATGACCAAAATTGAAATTTTCTCTTTTGAAAAATGTAAAAGTGAGTGTACTTATTAAATATAAGTGTTGTCATGACTCAAAATTATTTTTTCTTTGTAAATAATAAGAAATCCGGGCATACCAATGAAATTATCCCACTACGTAATTGAGTGGGGCCACCAGAATCAACATATACGAAAAATGGGAATTTACAGATAAGATACAATCTGCCATTTCAAGTACGTTTAGCAGACTAGCAGTAAGGACGATATAAACACAATGAACCTGCACGGGCTTAGCTCAATAGTTTAGTGGGCAATATTTAAAAGAAGAGACCAAGGTTCGAACTTTGACGACGATGGTGTGAGAATTATGTCCAAAGTGGGCAGATTCCTTGTATACACCGGCATTTGACCTTGTCTACTAACCCAAGGATTCAACCTTTTGGGAGAAGAAACGTGTCCGAGAAGATCTATGAGACAGGTCGGGTCAAGATGAAATATAGTATTTAGTATTTAGTATTGTACTTGTATATTGACTTAACCCGTCTCGCAAATAAAGATTTGTGAGACCGTCTCACACAAATGTGACCTTTTGATTTTTATTTGTAATATTCTGCGTACAAGAGAGAACATTTAAATTATAGTGTTATACAATTCCAACTCTTTAAAATGTTAAATTGTTTTTATATTAGTGCAAACGCACATTTATTTTTAATGTCAAACAAATGCTACTTAAAAGTCTTTTTAAATTCTCTACCAAAAAAAAAAGTCTTTTCAATTTTTTTTTTCAATTCAATATGTACACTTTGATAATCAAATTTATCACTTGACTATTATCAATATCAGCATATAATACTTAAATTCATCACCTTAACTAAAAAAATCTGAATTAACTGTCCGTATAACAGCTCAATTAATTTTTAGATCATAAATTATGAGCAAAAATTTAAATTTACTTTAACCCAATCTAAATTAAATATAAATTTACTATAAATTAATATTTCAAAATAACCACTTAAAATTGTAAATTTATATTAATTTTTACAACATGTAATTCTCCCGGAAAACAAATTAGCATTGGAATTTGGAAACCACCATAGCCCCATGCTCAGTGGCATTATTTAGAAGCAAAATCAAACCACGTGTTTGGAATTATGTTAACGTTATTGATATTGATAGGCCATGAGTCCCATGACCCATCGTGTCGGAAATATATTATCTCAACAAATATTACGGAGTACATTTTTATTAAAACATCTTACTCGTTTATTGAAAAGTATTACTTGAAATGTAATATTTATTGACTCATACAAAAAAAATATTATATTTTCATTAAAAAAAAATTATCCGTTTCACACAAGATCACTCGTAAATTATAAGAATCAAATACAATAGCGAACTCACACAAGATTTTGGTTGAGTCAATCATATAAGATCTTCTTCATGTAGTTGATCTATATTTTTTGTGTAGCTTGTAGATTATTACACAAACGTGGAACTTACATTGTGCACACCTTCAAATAGTAATTGCGGGTTACCTTTGTTAGCCAAATAAATACAACGGCAATCTCATGACCAAAAAGTTTTAAAGAGAAGCTATTGTAACTTGGGGGTGTAGTTGAGTACGTGGAAGTGACTCTCAATTCTTAATCAAAGATCGATGGTTTGATTCTTGACTTTGGGTATGAAGTAGCCTTAAATCTCCAAGTCAGCTGTCTCACCCAAAAGAGGTGTCTACAATTCAACGAGGGGCTTAGACACTATGTCCGACACCAGCTGTTTCACCCAAAAGAGGTATCTACAATTCAGCGAGGGGATTAAAAAAAAAACTATTGTGCTAATTATATTGCATTGAGTAGATATAATTCAAAAAATGTTAAAAATTGATGGAAGCGAGACGTATCAAGCACTAGCAATTGTGCTAATTATATTGCATTGAGTACGTATAATTTAAAAAGTTTTAAGAATTGATGGAAGCGAGACGTATATATCAAGCACTAGTTATTAATTTATTTTTTTAAAGCTAATCCAATCGAAAATCATGGATGATTGATTAATTATAAAAGGCACAAGTGTCAAATAGGTCCATCTACTACTGCGAAGTGTTCAATTTCCACCACGAACTAAATTAAGTGTCAAATAGGTCCATCTACGAGTTAAATTTGTTCAATTGACTTTTTTTACAGGTTAATAACAGGTTACCTATCTAATTATTAAAATAAATAAATAAATAAAAATTTAAAGAAAAAAAAAAGAATACAGCCACCGGCTGTCCTCGCCGGACAGCCGGTGGCTGCCATTTCAAAGACAGCCGGGAAAAAAAAAAAATACAGCCACCGGCTGTATTTTTTTTTTAAATAATTTTTAAATTATTTTGAAATTATTTTTTTTAATAATTGAATTGGTAACCTGCAAAAAAAAGTCAATTACCTGCAAAAAAAGCTAATTGAACAAATTTAGTAGGTAAGTGTGGTTAATTAGCCTTTAATTTAGTTCATGGTGGGAATTGAGCACTTGACAATAGTACATGGGCCTATTTGACACTTCTCCCATTATAAAACTAATTTAAAGTGTAAAATCACCTAATGCAAATCTAAAGTGCAATATTAAATTTGGGTTTAAACAGGTGTGATGATGCAAACAAGGGAATGAGTTAATCATGTAATCTCCAACCTAAAACAATACAAGTGAATATTCACTTCCGTGATATAAACATCTAACAATGTAAGAACAAACATTCATAATAAACTCTTAACTAATACCATCTCCTGATGCGCAAAAGCTAAGAATTAACCCCCTAACATATATGCTTCTCCCAAGGTGCAATAGTTAAGTGCAATTGTGGGTGCCCTAAAATATGCCCTAACTCCCGTTAATTAAGACAAAAAGTTAGCTATGAAACGAGCAATTATGGCCATTAACTACTAGCATCAACAATACAAAACACAATTGCAACACAAGTTATAAAACTCAAATGTCAATATATTAAAGAATCTGATAACTAGGCACATATAGGTTCATAAACACTTTCACCCAAGAATCTCTAAGATAACTTAGCCACACATGGCTAAACTAAAATTCATTGCAATAATATAAAGAGTTCACAAGTAACAAAGAGAGTAAAAGAATAGACCAAGAAATTCTCTCAAATCTTCCTACCTTTTCTTCTTTCTTCCCAAGGCAACTTGTAGCTCTTGATCTCCTCTTTCTTGTCTCCAAAACTCAGCTTGATACCCTAGGGTTGAGGGAAGATGGGATTTTTAGAACGGGAGTCAAATAGGGGCAAAATAAAAAATTTCAGCGCCGACTTCCAAAACTCAGATCGCAACTTTCGACGCGTTGAGAATGAACTCGACGCATCGAGTCCTCCAGACTCATTCTGCCCGTAGCTTCTGGAAAGTTTCGACGCGTCGAGAATGGGACTCGACGCGTCGAGGCCTCGATCCTCGATCAGCTTTTACTTCTTGAAAGTTTGGACGCGTCGAATTCTCTGAATCAGCATTCTTCACTTCATTTTGGCTCCAACTTTGTCTTAGGACTTCCCCTTGCCTTTGCAATTAATCTACAATGATTCCAAAACAATAACAACCACCATAAAACATTCAAATCAAGTATAAAACCATATCTTTATGAGAAAATAATGGAAAATTCGCATTGAAAATATCAATTTAATGAACTT